CTCTGTAAAAAATCAATAAAATATATTAAAAAATATTAATCCTGAGGAAGGTAAGAGATCAACCAAAGGACTGTATACATGCATATAAGTACAGCCAATGGACACAAAACTCTGGGGTGGGAGGACATGAATGGAGAGGGAGAATGGTATATGTACATAAACAATAATTTAATAAAAAATTTAAAAAATAAAAAAAAATTAAAAATATATTTATCATGCTCTGTTAATCATGGTTGCTCTTTTCTGATTAGACAAAGCACATTTTCACCTGGCTGGGAGTTGTGCATGTTGGGACATGGAAGGTAGCATCCGAATGCAGACCATCCTCCTGTCTGGAGAACTGTCTATCATTAATGGAGAGATTTACAACCTTGTGGTAATTTAGTTCTGTAGGAACCAGCTCTGTACAAGCCCAGCCCTATTACTTGTAATCTGGTCCCGAGGTCCCCAGAGGCGTCGACCCTCAGTGACCCCACCACCCCAGCCTGCATGACGTGTAACCTGTAATGATGCTCCCATGCCCACTTCCTCATGTCTGTCACTCCTGCTCCCCACGCCATCTCTGTCCCTCTGCCCAATAGAAGCAGTGGCTGATGGTGGGCCACAGAGCAGATTTCTCTGGCTGACCTGCTGCTCTCTCATGCTGCCGGCAGGACTGGAATAAATGCTCCCACATGATTCAAGCCTGTCTCTGCTTCATGGGCTCAAGCAGTGACAGGCAGCCCGGACCCACTGGCTGTCCGGTTACAAGTTGACATAGACAGAAGCCCACACTGTATGGCCTCTGTGCCTTGTTGATTTCACTGAACACATTTCCAGGGAGCACTGTTCTTTGTAAGTCTCCTGCTCGGTTTCTCTTTGGGTGAGTTGGTGTCTACACACTGAGCATCTCTGTGGTGTCAAGGGCCATCTAGGGGAACAAGCCCCTTCAGCAGGCATTTGTTTGCCACTGCCCGTCCTCCACCTGCTTCTGCCCCAGGAGGACTGATTGAAATCCCTTACTTGCTGCCACCTCCCTCCTGCTCTCTGCCCTTGCCTTTCATGTCATTGGTCCAGGAGGGAGACGCTATGGAGGTGGTGGCTGCTCAGTCATGGGTGCCAGGGAGACAGTCAGGACATGGGAGAAGGCACTCGCAGAAACACACACCTGTACCCTGTTGTTTGTTAGTGTCCAGCCCCCCTACCCCCAACAAGGGACACTGAGGGCACCTCTACTTCCTGCTGATCTCTGCCACCCAACAAGTTACCCATTTCCTATCTCACTGGATCTCAGTTCCAGATGGTCAGTTCCTGACTCCTGCTTCCTGTGTAGAGGCTGCTGAACCTCTGATGGTGGGCTTCTGGGAGCCCTGCCCACAGCAGCTGGAACCAGGTGTGACCTGAGGAGGCCATTCTGGGATGGGGCCTTGGAGCTGGATGCTGCTGCCTGGCCGGCCATGGGAAGCCAGCGCTGACAGGGAACACAGCAGGGACTTTGGGGGGATGCTGAGCCAAGTGGCAGCCCTAAAGAAAGGTGCCAACAACCTGATAGCAATGGATTGGTCACTGAAGGCCACACACAGAGCTGAAGAGCACCTGGCTGCCTGGTGGGCTATTTGATTCTGTTCTAAGATGCTGGAAAACAAATCAGTTTCACTAAAAAGAGATGTTGACAGGAAGCCAGGAAGGCTGGTCAACAACCTTAATTGCTCTAACCACTCACCCTTTAGTTGAGACATTGTTAGCTGAAGCAGCCTCCACCTTGTTTGTCCCATGTAAGTTTCTGTTATTTCCTGCCTAAGGGCCACATGTAAATTTCTATTTATGCTGTCTAACCTGTTTTCCCCAAAGCCTCAATAAAAGGGATGGCAGGGCCAGAGCAGTGAGTAGTTCTTCCACTAGAGTTGTACTACCGCCTGGCCCCCTATATCGCCAAATTGAATTTTTTCAAGTCTCAAGTCCTTTCCTTTGTGTGCGGCCCTTCTCCAGAATCTGAACGCAGAATTGGAACTCTTTCCACGCAGGTCCTGAAAGACATTCCTATAGGCAAAAACCAGGGCTTCCCAAATGCCAGTCCTCTGTTTTGCTGGGACCAAAGGTTCTAGAGATGGATCACTCCCCCTCCTCCTGGGGTGACCCCAACAACAGAAGGGAGAGGAAGGCCTGGGTCCTGACCATGATTCCAGTCTCATGGCTCTCACCACCTTCCTCGTGTGGGGTGACCCTTTCCAGGCCCCCCCAAGATCTGAGTTGCCTGGAACCCTCAAGTTCAAGCTGGCCCCACCTCCATGTGTCCTGCACAGTGAGGGGCTTCACACCAAGCACCAGAACAGTGGGCTGCACTTCTCCCCAAACCCCTCTTCTTCCTTCCCTCCTTCTATTCCCAGTGGCCATCACTGATGCTGGGTCCTCCTTCTTTGCTCTGAGTTGATACCGTGCCTTTGTCTGCTGCTGTGCTGTCACCGAGGCTGGGCCTAGGCGGATGGGCAGGTCGGCCGGGCCATTCAGGCTCCCCACTTCACTGGGCGGCCACTGGGTTCCCATTTCCACAGCTTCTGGCACCAGCTGCCTCGTTTGCCTCCCTCTGCCCTGTGGCTTCCTGGGACATCCCCACCAGTCTTGCCCCCCCCCCGCCCCCTCCCCCCCCCCCCCCCCGACACACTTGGGGGTCATGTTGAATGTTCCACACTTGCCTGCAGTTCATATTCTATTGGGATTTGAATAGTTGATATTTGGTGACACCGTCTCTTTTTAACCTTGAATGACTTTTTATTTTGTGTGAGTTTTCTTGTAAGGAAGCTGGTGGTTGTCACAGACTCTTGATTAGGAATGTAAGGACCCTGCTGTGAATGGAGTCTTTACCATCATGGCGTCACATTAGTTACACTGAGAGTAACAGATGAGTTTCGTCTTCTGTCTCTCCTGATTTGTGTTTAAAAAATTTATCTTGCATGCAGACACCTTGGGAAACTTAATCTTAAAACCTTCTCAGGTGAGGCTTTGGCTTTTCTGAAAAGATCTGCCAATGATTTTCACGTGATTCCCTCCCAAGACTCTCAAACCTCTTGTTTGTGTTTCGGGCAGATCTGCTCGAGCTGATGCAATGCTGTCTTTGTTTCAGGTCTGGCCCAGCTGGTTATTGCCCAGCCTGGTGGTGGGGCGGGAAGTCTGGGTCCAGCATCAGGCTCAGCATTTGGGCCTGTGACTTCTCGCTGATTCCTCTGTGACTTGCTTTCTTGCCATCTGGGCCTGGGGACCAGCCCCAAACCACATACACTGTTGAGGTAGGTAAAGGTTGGTGCTCTGACCAGACCACTGGCAGGGAGGGAGCCAGCCTGCCCCTTAACACCCAAGGTCTTCCCTCGGGCCTGAATGACTTGCTGTGTCTGTGAGCCCAGCCCATTCCTCCTGGGTGCTCACTCCCCCCACATGGGGCCCCTGGCCATATTGGATCCTGGTTGTTTCCTGTGAAGATCCCTAGTGTCCCTTAAGGATGCTGATTCTGGGTTCCCCCAGACACAGCAGCATCTCAGCAAGGGTGACAGGGACTCTGTCCCCATGAGGGAATTATGTATTTCTAGAGACCTAAGCTAAAAAGCATCCTTAGGTGGTCTCCTCACTGGGCTCATGGGAAGAGAGGACCGGGTGTGGTTCAGGAGTGTGGGAACCCCTCTTCCTTCTCCTCTCAGAGCATTGTCTGGCCTTTCCCATGCTTGGTGGAGAATGATTCTCAGAATGTCAAAGGGAGGAAAAGCCTGTGCCTGGCGGGTGGCAGGCGTCGTTCTGAGGTTGGACTTGGGGGACAGAGCTCCTCCATGCAGAAAGCAGGGAGGGTGAGAGGAGAGGTTGGCTCCCAGCGCTGTGCAGGTGCCTGGAGTGTGCAGAATGTGAGGAAAACTAGCAGTAAATCGGCACCTCTCACACCCTTTGCCCTGTATTTTGACAAAGCTTGATCATGAGGACAGCTGAGCAGATGCCTGAGTGTCCTGGTTCGGCCATAACAAATGCCACAGACTCGGGCCTTTAGACAAAACCTTATTCTGTCCCAGTGTTGGAGGCTGAAGTCTACCATCAAGGTGCCAGCAGGTCCCACTCCCTCCAAAGGCCCCAGGGCAGCTGCCTCCTCCATCTCATGGAGCTGCTGGCCATCTCTGTCTGCAGGTCCAACGAATCTGTCCTTTGTGGGGAGCACTGTAAGCCTCAAAAGAAGGTGGGTTGGGGGGCACTTTGCCTGCTGCTGACCTTTACCCCCTTTTTGGCTCAGGTGCCAGCCTCCCTCTCCATCTATGCCCCTGCTCTGTTTTGTTTCAGAGCATCTGACTCATTTATTATTATTTATTTAGTTTACCACCCTAGGATAGGCTTATGGATTTTAGGGAGAGGAAGGGAGAGAGAGGGGTGAGGAACATTGATCGGTGGCCTCTTTTATGCGTTCTTATTGGGGAATGAACTCAGCCTAGGTATGTGGCCTGATTGAGAATGGAACCTGAGACCCTTCAGTGTACAGGATGATGCAAAGCATCTCATTTCTTTCATTTTCACATGCACTATCATCTCACTACTGAAATGTCTCCAGAACCAATATTATTATTTTTATTTTTTGTGAGTCCTCACCCAAGGATATTTTTCCATTGGTATTTTGAGGGTGTGGGACAGGCAGAGGCAGAAAGAAACATCGATGTGACCCATTGATTGTTTGCCTTCTGCAAGAACCTGCAACCAAGGTAGGTGCCCTTGACCAGAATCATACCTGGGACCCTTCAGTACGCAGCCTGACGTTCTATCCATTGAGCAAAACCAGCTAAGGCTTCAGCACCAATACTGAGTGTCTTCTCAGAGAGGACCCCACATATTTCCTGTCTGATAGCTGATCTACTGGCCATCGCTGATCCTCTGAAGGGATAAGCCCCGACCTCTCCTATGCCCTACCCTAAAAGAGATTGGCTTCCCTTTGGGGCAGTCTGGGCAGGAGCATAAAGGGGCTCAGAGGGGTCCAGCAGTAGAAGGCAGAGAGGCCTGGCATGGTGAGGACGCTGCTCAAAGCCACATCCTCTCTATTCCCAGGTCCCTGCCACAGATCTCCTCACTGGCTCTCCCGTTCCCTCCTCTCTCCCCTGCAGATGCTGTGGCTGCTGCTCTTAACTCTACCCTGTCTGGGGGGCTCCATACCTGTGACCTCAGGTGAGTGCTGACCCCAGATGTGGCTTGTCTCTGAACCCCTGACTCTGACCTCTCAGAGGCCGCTCCTGGGATGGGGTGGAGATCCCCCTGAGGGTGGCTGTGGCAGGGACTGAGGATGGGGCCATGCTGACTGCCAGGCAGTGGTGCTTGGGTCCCTGATGGCTCCTCCTCTGGTTCCCCAGATCCCAGCCCAGGGACTGAGCTGGTGGGCATTGTGGGAGGGCATAATGCTTCCATTGAGAAGTGGCTGTGGCAGGTGGGCCTGTGGATCCTTGATACAGAACAGTGCAAGTGGAGTCTCGATTGTGGGGGCTCCCTCATCCATCGCCAATGGGTGCTGACTGCTGCACACTGCATTGAAGAGTAAGTCCCTCCTCTGCCAGCACCCGGGGTGGGAGTGGGGGACAATATTGGGAGGCATGTGATGTGTGTTGTGGGCAGATCTTGGGCTGAGTTTGTGCAGACCCCCACCAGGATTCAGCTTCCTGGAGTTCCCCTTGCCCACTACAGAGGGGAGGTCTCTGGGCTCTAAGGGGCTAGCCCACTTCCTGCCACAGCCTCTCAGAAGCCTTTGGCCTCTGTCCCCAGGACAAACCCTGACCCCCAGCACTTTAAGGTCCAACTAGGACAAGTGGGACACTCATTCAGTGACAGTGTGCAGGTGGTTAGGATCATCCGCCACCCCAAATACTGTCTTGAAAAGCAAGCAAAAGGTGGGGCAGACGTGGCGCTTCTCAAACTGAAGGCCTCCGTGCGACCATCTAACCTCGTCAAGTGGATCAGCCTCCCACCAGCCTCCTCCACATTCCCCGCAGGCACCCGGTGCTGGGTGACTGGCTGGGGTGACATTCATTATGAAGGTAAGAACCAGAACCAGGATGACAGGAGGGTGATGCATTGGGGTGGGCCAGGCTTTATCGATGAGGCCTCAGCTGGGGTCCCTCTGGGGTCTCCTTTGGGTGTAGGAGGCAGACAGCTCGAGAGGAGTCTGTTCAGGAGCAGGGACCAAAGTAGCAAGAGGGAGGCATGGACATGAGATAGTTTCCCATTGATTTTTAGAGAGAGTGGAAGGTAGCGGGAGAAACATCGATGTGAGACACATATCTATTAGTTGCCTCCACGACTGGGGCTGGAAATTGAACCCGCAACCCAGGTCCTTATCCTTGACCAAGAATCAGACCTGGGACCCTTTGGGCCAGTGCTCTAACCACTGAGAACACCGGCCAGGTTGCCATGGCATTTCTTTCCCTCACTTTGCACCAGACCTGTGTGCACCCTTCCGGGGTCCCGTTCTCCCTGAGTCTCCCTAGTGGGATGGAGAGGAGGAGAGAGAACTCCAGTGACCTTCTCCAGGATTCACTGTGAAATGGACAAAGTGAAATCTGACAAGAGGGTCACTCACTCTGCTTTTCTCGGGGGAAAGTACTTCCTCTGATATTTCCCAATAAAATTGTTTGTGGATAAAAAATATATTTCTGTTCCTTTTTGGATCTCATTGCCCCCAGTGTCAGCCTAGAGATTATCATCCCACTGGTTTAGAATTAACCCGGAAAGCTGGGGTCTTGGGTCACTCCCAGTGTACCTTTGGGGGCGCTGAGGCTCAGTGTGATGTTCTAGAACTGGTGGCCTCGGATTGGCTGCCCTCTCAGGACAGCAGGCTCACTGGGCTTCTTCTCACAGAGCCGCTGCCAAAGCCCTACAATCTGCAGGAAGTGGAGGTCCCCATCGTGGCACGTAAGACCTGTAGGCAGCAATATGGCAAGGTAATCAAGGACGACATGCTGTGTGCAGGGAGCCCGGGCCGGGACTCCTGCCAGGTGAGACCCCAAGACTGTGGCCTTTGTCCATTGCTGCTGCCTGCAGGAACCCTGAGGATTGACCGCCTGTCTCTTCTTCCCACAGGGTGATTCTGGGGGCCCCTTGGTCTGTAAATGGAGGAACATCTGGGTCCAGGTAGGGGTGGTGAGCTGGGGGGAAGGGTGCGGTCTTCCCAACTTTCCTGGAGTCTATGCCCGAGTGACATCCTACTTGCCTTGGATCCACCGTCATATTCCCTCCTCTTCTTGAGCCCGGGGCCAGGCAAGGATGCTGCCCATTTGAGATGAAGACAGGCTCTCCATGGTGTCTGAGGACCTCACTGCTCCTTCCCAATGCCATCTCTTCACTGCACCTAGCACCCTTCTCCACCTCCCCCAACCCCTTGCTCTGAGATACTCCTGCCTCTGCCATCTCCATCAGTCTGTGACCCCTGATAGGCAAAAGGGAGAGGAGGGACCTGGTCTGAGGTCAGGCTGGGCACTGCAGGCCTCCTGCCTCCTCCCCACCCTCTGTAGCTTATTAAACAGCATGAAAAACTGCTCTGGCCTGAGTGTAGTTACCTTTGGGCAGGGCCAGGGTGCCATGGGTGGTACGTCTTGGTGGGAAACCAGGCTCTGGAAGGTGGACCAGGTGGGGATGGGCAAGTATGGCTACAGCGTGTAGGAGGGCCACATGGGTGTGCTCTCTTGGCTGGGAGGAGGAGGAGTGTCCTGTCTGGGGCTGGAGACCAGAGCTACCCACACCTTCCCTCTTCCTCCTTTCATCCTGGTCAGTGTGGAATGGATGCTTTGAAGGACTTGGACTTGGCAGCATACAAACAGGAAGTATAGTTTGCCATGGTCACAACTGCTCTGTCTGACGCAGTGGCCACCAAATCCTCATTTTCCAATTCGATCATTTCCTTGGACTAATTAAAGTCCGGTCCCATTGGTATGCAGAACCTCAGTCTCCAATTCTGAACTTCTCCTTAGCCAGGAGAGCCTGCAGGGGACAGAAAAAAACGCATTCCTGCTTCCCTGCCTCTGTCCTCAGTCTCCCTTAGTGTCCCAGTTTGTGTTGGTTGGATGCTGCCAGAGAGGAGGATGGAGAGGTGGACCCCATCCTCCCTGAGGCTGCTCTCCCAGCGCTGGCGCCCCTGCTGGAGAAGCACCGCAGTGCACCCTCCTCTCAGGCTCCTCAAAGCCCATCCTTTCTCCTATGGGGTGGGAGGGGCTCCCAGAGGACAGAGGAGCTTCTGTTTCAGATGGAGGAGTGAGAAGGGGCTGTGGAGCCCCTCCTGCCCCAGGCAGTGATGTGCAGTTCCTGCTGGGTTAGGATTTGGGGGCATGGCCAGTGCCTGGCTGGGGTGGGTGCTGCACCTGCAAGTTGGAGCCAGGACCCAGGAGAGCCTGGGAGCATGAGGCGGCCTGTATGGTGAGGGGGCTCCATTCCCTGCAGCCACAGGCTGGTCCCCAGCCTGATTCTAAAATGTGGTGGAGCATTCGAGGTCCCTGCACATTGAAGCCAGGGTGGACAAGCCCTGTCATCTCCCTGTGACCCAGTCCTTTGGGGAGGGCTGCCCTCCAGTTAGGGAAAGTGGGAGTGCCAGGGCAAATGGAGCAGGAGCTGCGTGCCCCATGTGCCCGGGACTGAAGTCTGGGTTTCCTGAGTGCCAGGAGCTCTCCAGGAACTCCTTTTTTTTTTTTTTTTTTTTTTTAATAAAGCCTAGGACTCAGCTGGAAGGCACAACCATGCAGATGGCCCCCTTGGGGATCTGATCTGGCCAGGAAGCAAGGAGGGGCTGACCCAGCTCAGCCTGGAGCAGTGCCCTGGCCCTTGGGTTCCAGCACACTTTCTGCCTAAGTGATTTCCCTGTCCATGAGCCTGTGGATGGGAGGCTGCCAGAGTGTCCACACGCATCTAGGTCCCTTCTGCCCACCAGGAGGGGTTTGGCCTGCCTGCAGTGCCATTGGGCGCTGGGGATATGACTCTTTAGGGCTTCCCCCATGGGTGCAGGTGTAGTCAGACCTCAGTGTTTCCAGGGTTAAGAATGAGGGTTGAGTGTCTAGAGGCCAGCACTTTCAGGAGGGAGAGGATCTGGGACTTGGTGTGGAGGGAAGGCTGGAATGGGACACATCTGGGCCTGGGGCCAGGTCTGCAGGCATGGCCACCTGGTGGTCCCACAGGGCTCTCTCTAAGGAGGATGGGCTTGGGGCCAATGGTCCCACCACCCATCCCCACTACCGCTTGCCTGGAATCATCAACGATCTCAGCACCTGGCTTCCTGGGCTGAGCAGTAAGGCACGGTGGGCGGAGCCTGATGCCTGGTTTGGACATGGACAGGGGCTTGTTGCCTGTGGTCTCTGAAATCTGTTCTTACTGAGCCCTGGGCATGCAGAGATGGGGACACTGAGCCTGCAGGGCTGTGTCTCCCAAAAAGACCCTGCAGGCCAGATCAGTGCCCTCTGACTCTTCCCCTTGTCTGAGGGTGACAGGAAACACCCTCAGCAGTTGGAATGGAGATGATACAGGGCCATGCCCTTCCCGGTGGAACTCACATCTTGCTCACTGCCAGGCTCACCCACCTGTTATGTCCTGGAGTGGCAGTGAAATCCCAGGACTGGTGTGTAAGTGTGTGAGTGTGTGTATGCACTTAAATACACAAATTCATTCTCTCACAGGCTAGAGGCCAGAATCAAGTTTTTCTGGGGCCACACCTCCCCAGGCTCCTGCCTCCTCCACTTCTGGTGGCATCAGGACCCTTGTCTTGCTGAGTAATCACTGGACCCCCCTCCTCCCCGTACTACCACCCCTGTGTCTCTCCAAATCCTCACCTCTTCCTACAAGGACACCCATCACTGGTTTAGGGCCTCCCCTCCTCCACTCTGACCTCATCTGACCGAGTTCCCTCTACATCTGATTCTCAGTGAGGTCAGGTGTGAGGGACAGCACTGGTCCACACTCACTGTTGAGGTTCCAGGCCACCAGGCTATGTGCTCCTGAGGGGGGAGCCCCTGAGGAGGCCAGGGGCTGGCACAGGAAAGCTTTAGGACCCAGAACTCAGGGGCACCCCATCCAACCACAGGCTGTGAGGGCCTCTGCAACTCTCAGGGGAAGAAGCAGCGAGCTCCACACCTCCCAGTGCCCTCCAGCCTGGAACACCAGCCACACAGAGGCTGCGGGTCTGAGCGCTCCCAGTGCTGGACAGGGCGCCGCTGCAGGTCCAGGCTGCACTGCAGTCACAGGAGCAGCAGACATGATGGCGGTAAAGGTATTGGTGATGGGCCGTGCAGCCGGCCCTGAAGAATGATCCTGAAATGGAGGTACAGCTGGTGTCTGGGCACATGGAGCTCCAGTGTCTGGGGACAGGGAGCCAGCCATGCCGCCATCTTGGTGGGGCCAAAGACACTGACTGCCAGGCAGAGGCAGGAATGCTGTGTCACAATTGGGGGCAGGGATGGGGAGGGCCCTGGGTGTCTCTTGGTGCCCCCTCGTCTATGTGATGGCAGGTGGATACATTCAGCCCCCCGGGATGAGAAGTCCCTGTGCCCCGAGCTCAACCCCTCAGGATGGGAGTCTGGGTCCCACTTTCAGGTGAGCCCAAGAGTCCGAGTTGGGAGCATAGATGGGGGTTTCCATGGAAAGTGTGGGGCCTATTGGCCTCAGTTGTGTCCTGAGCCTCTCCTTCCCAGGGCTGGGACTCCTGGGTGGTCCTGCGGCTGCCTTCTCAGCACAAAAGGCAGAAGGCGGTGGGCACTGCTGGTCACAGAGGCAGCCAGGCAAGAACCCCTCATGGCAGGACTTGATGGCAGCGGCTGGGAGGCCTTGCAGCTCATCAGGCTACTTTGCCCCGTCAGGTCCTGCTTGGCTCTGCAGGAAGAGGCAGGGGCTGGCTTGTGTCCCTTTGGGGGCACACCTGGGTATTCCATGGACTGGTCAAGGGAGAATCAGCCTGCATTGTGCTCCAGCCTTGCCCTCTGCCCAGCTCTGCTCTGTCCACCTGCCTCCCAGTTCCTCTCCCTGATGTTTCCCCATGAAAGCCCATTGCGGTGCAGCTCCAAAGAGCCCCCAGCAGAGGGCAGTGTGCAAGGTCTCCGCTGGGGGCAGTGAGGGTGGCCACAGGCCATGTGCCAGGCAGAGGGCATGCTCTAGTCAGATGGATTGCTCCACTCTGCCTCACAGGGCTCAGCGGATTCAGGGGCTGCCCTGTGGTTCAAGGGGCCCAGCAGCAGCTCTGGGGTTTTGCCCGCCTGGGCCGCTTGCCTGGGCCCAGCGCTCCCGTACTTCTGCCAGCAAACCTGCTCCTCTGGCATGCTCTCCTTGCTCATGCCGCGGCCTGGCTGGGTTTGTGGCTGAGATCCCTGCAGCCAGAGGGGGCTGCTGCCCAGTGACAGCCAGGGGGCAGGTCCGGGGATGCAGCACCAGGGTCCAGAAGCAGCTCCTCGACGTCTGCTGAATGACCCCCCGACCTGGGATGGGCCTGAGAGAGGATAAGCTCTCTCTGCCCACGGCCCAGCCAGGGGCCCCCACCTGCCCCTCCCTGTGCAGGGGATGAAGGGGTACAAAAAGGGTCCCAAGGGTGGTCTCTCAAGGTGATGATGCCCCTGCACAGACTCCGGCTTCTCCATCCACACCAGGTCCCGCCCTTGGTGGTCTCAGCCAGGCCCCTGCCATCCCCGCAGATGCTGTGGCTGCTGTTCCTGAGCCTCCCCGGCCTCCGTGGCCTTGTTGCCAGGTGAGTCCTCACTCCCTGTCCCCATCTTCTGCTCAGGCTGCCCAGGCCCCTCAGCATCAACTCAGGGCGGGACTCCTTGGTTCTTCCTTTGGAGACTGAGTGCGAGGGGCCCTGCTGGAGTCTAAGATCGCGCCCCTGTCCCCTTTGTTCCCAGGTCCTGGCTCAGTGGCATTGTGGGGGCGTACCACGATGCACAGGGATGTAAGGTTGTGGCTTTTGCCTGTTTGTCTTCTTTCCCCTAGCATGACTCCTTCGAGGCCCAGCAATGCTGTAACCTGTGTCAGAACTGCATTTCTCTTTGTGGCCCAGTAACCTCCACTGGGTGGAGGGAGTGTTTTGTGGTACATTCCTGCCTGAGAGACTGGTGCTGCCTTCTGGCTGTTGTCAATCATGCTGCTGTGAACCTGGGTGTTCAAGCACCGGCA